CTTGAAAAAGAAAAAGGTTTTGGTTTCTAAATTTTTAAGGATCATGTGTTTTGGTTTGAAAATTCGTTTTCATTCTCACCATCTTAGACCTTAATTAGTGGCTTATTTTGCCAAAATAGACATATAAGAACTTCAAACGCAATCCCGATCTTGATGATTCTCAATTTAGTGCTACAAACATCAAGAGTGTAAACTAGACATGTATATATAGGTCCCTGTATATATATCGTATGTGTTTCAAAACTTTTTTTTTTTATAAAAAAAGTCCATGAATATAACACTAAAAAATGATGAAAGAGATAAGATTCTACATTCTCTGCATAATCCGATCTCTAAAAACCTTGTTTGGTTTATCTTAATAGAAATCCAAAAAATGTGTGGGAAAGCATCTTTGCACTATTACACGTACCTATTATATGTATCGATGTGCCTCCTAAAGAGAGTCTAAGACAATTGACATATAAATTCTAAATAAAATGGAGAAAAAAAAAAAAAAAGAAGAGATATTTTCGAGACAACACATGCGATGTCTTTAAATTAGTTTTTGAACTCGTAGGATGGGCTGGGATATCGTTGTTTGTCTTAGGCCGTCAACAAAGTTTGGCCTCATCTATATTAATTATACTAACTAAAAGGAACCTTAAGCTAGCCAAAACAAAACTCTCTACCATGCATGATGCCACGTCAGCTGGTTTTCACAAATGAAAAAAAAAAACACCCAAACGTCATCATTTTGTTTGCACGTTTTTTCAGACCCAATTGACATTGACCCACAATTTTAAGGCCCAAATGACATTCAATCACAATTTTACAAAATCTATTTTCAATAAACATGTCCCCATGAACCATTCTCCTCAGCCATAGTAGCTACGTGATTTCAAGCTCAAAAGAGGAATCGTCGTGAGGATCGGACTTTGGGTCTGATCACGGAGAAGGATAGCGATAGAGGAGGTTGTGGAAAGAGGTAAAGCAACGGTAGTTCTCAAAAACTTCGGTATGTATCATATTTTGGTTTTTCATGGTCGGTTAGAGACTTAGAGTGCCTTTGATTTTAGTTAAATATCGGCCCCCACGTTCATCATCCAGATCGGAGGAGACTGTCATTCCGTCTCTTTGGCTTCTTCACTTAAGGAGGAGGTACATAACTTCTCTTCTTCCGTATTATGTCTTCTACTTTTCAAACCGGAAAACATAAACATTGATCAAGTCTTTGTTCTTATCTTCTCACACTAACACCAATGTCAAGTGTGTTCTTTGTTAGATTATGTTCTCAAAGAGTCTACTCTCATTCATTCAGGGCTTTGGTTACCATGTTGACATCGAGTCTGTGTTGCCAAATATGTGTGTTCAATGCAAGTAAAACAACTTATGAAAATTCACAGCTATGTTTCAGTTACTTAGATTTAAACATTCTATGTTCAAAAAGTGTCTAATTTGGATTTGCAAATAATTTTCTGGGTTTTGATTCTTCCTTTCCATCCAATGGTTTCTTGACCATTTGCTTTTTTGATCTTTTGCTACAAATTGCAGTTGACCACTTTCAGATGCTCATTTTCTTCATAATATTGTTGGGAGACAGAGTTTAGAAAGGGAGAAGGAATGCAATCAGATCAGTTTATTCCAAATGCATCACATAGCTGAGATACAAATGCTCCCATCCAACCTATTATTCTAGCCGACTTAAAAAGGCTTTCGAGCTAAACAATACAACTACTGTTGAATTGCCTCCAGTAAGAATCTACTCTTTCTATAGAAAATGAAACTCTGTGATGATTGTCTAATCTCCTATAAAATTCATATCTTTATTAACCATAATTTATTGCATAATAAGTTGAATTACTTCTAATTATCATGTGATGATTGTTGAGGTAGCTAAGTATGAGAACATGATATCTCCTGCTTCTTTTTTCATGCAGAAAAAGGAGCTCCTACCGCTGCTTAGAATTCAAAAGTGAGTCAGAAGATTGGGACATAAAGCATACAGAAAATAGAAACAGGAACAAGGAGAAAGATAGGGAATATAAGAAGCGAATCATGTGCAGAAAGATAGAAATTAAGAAAAGGATACAGACAAGGATAAGAGACATAATGAAGGAAAGATATTGACACCATGATTACGTAACCCGTCTGCTCATGTTGGTCTCTTTCTTTCCTTAGAATAGCTTATAGGTAAAGTCTTCCTCCATTTCTTTTAGCTGGGATATGTTCTTGGCGATTCACTATGTCCATTGTTGGTTTCAGTTCATGAGATTTAGTATATCTAGGCTGTCTATTTTTATATATTTGATCTCAAATTCTAGAGAATTTACATGGTACCCTATTAGTTAACTTTTAAGAAAAGGAAACATAATGGGGATATCTTGATGACGTTTAGAGGCACAAAATAAGTAAGGTAATGTACTGATTGCAATGCAGGCATCTCTCTCTTGTTAGTTGAGCTTAGTTTTGATGTTTCTGTTCTCCATAGCAAATTTTTATTTCAGTTGTCCCCGTAATTAACTTTACCAGTATAAGAGCTCAAAGCTTGATGAGATGGGCACTATAAAGATTGCATGAAGAAGCGCTGGACACGTCTCATATTTGTATTTCACATACAAAGAGGAGTCACTAGAGAGGTTTATTATCTGCTACTTAACTTACTTTAGACAACTTTGTCAAGTAAGATTTCTTCGGTTCTCTCTTAATTTTAAGCATGTGCATTCTAGGCCACTATACTCATCTTCTTTCAATTCCTCTCAGTCTCATCACTAGATAACTCATGTTTTTTATATGAGGTTGCGTCTGTCATACATGTGATTGGTCAACTTTTTTGGTTGTTTTAAACACGAAAATAATCATGGTCTCAGTCTTACGCTTGAAAGAAAATAGCCCAAAAATATCTAATTATTACTTCGTTTGCTAACATCAAAGATTTGGTATTGGTTTTGTAGGTTTAATCTCGAAATACAAATTACATTGTGGGGAAGGTAGGACGAATGAAGAAACAAAATTTCTCCGTGGAGAAGAATGACTACAATTCGTATCATAATTTGATTTGATGGCAGCTTTCTTTGTATATTTTCTTCTTTGTGTAGGTTTCTTTTGCTAATCACAAGGAATCAGTGTGCTTCCTTTTGGGGAAATCCGAATCCGGAATGGTTGAAGAAGGACAATATGATTACTATAAGTTTGCGATTGATGAGGCTACTGTAGAAAAAATAGTGGTAGGAAACATCAAAGTTATTGTAAAGATAGATGTGGAAAAGGATGGAGCGGATACTGATGTATCAAAGTACCCGGTTCTGTTCCCATCTCTTCATCAACACGAGTGGTCTTCACGCGACGTGGGTTCAAAGACCTTAATATCGAGATCAAAAGAGAGAGCTCTGAGCTTGGGGACTTACACTATAGGTGTCTACGGGTTCAAGGGAACAGTTAAATACCAGGTTTCAGTACCAGGTTGCATATTGTTTAGGTTCCAAGACCACGAGAACATGTAGGAGGAAACATAAAACATGGACTTTGAAGGTGGTAGTAATATGGGATTATCACTATGGGATAGTTTTGCAGTTTCCCCTTTCAAACCCAATAAATAAGAGAAGATCGGTTTACTCTCAAAAGCTTGGTTTTTTTTGCCTTTTTGGAACTTCTCTAGATTAACTCACGATGCATTTATAGTAAACATGGATTGATTTCAATATATTTTACATTCAAATTTTTTTAAAATATATAATTTTTTTTCATCTACAAAATCACAAACATTACAATAACACGATACCCGGACGTAATCCGAGACATCCCCTAGTCGTTTTAAATATTTTTACCCACACCACTTCATTTTTTCTAATCCGAGAAGCATATAATATCCCTGCAGAAAAAAAAAACAAATGAAAAGCATCTTATCATATTAATTTGAATATAGTCGTTTACGGTTTTTTGGAGTTTGCAAAAGTAGATAATAAAACCAAAAAATCAATTGCAATTTTTTTTATTATTCAATGCTTAGTTCATACCTATTCGAACCTATATATCTCTCGAATTTCTTTCGTATAGCACATAA